ATGGCTGGAGCTGCAGGGCTGTCAGGGCTCAGCGGAAGCACCAGGATCAGTGCCAAGCTCCAGCTGGAGCTCGGCGCTGATCCTGGTGCTTCTGCTGAGCCATGAAGAAGCACCAATCAGCTGGAAAGCAGCACTGATCCTGGTGCTTCTGCTGAGCCCAGAAGAAGCACCAATCATCTGGAATGTTGCAGCATCTCCAGGGTCTTGTGATTTACATTCAGATGCTTGGCAACTGATTCATATTTACGAGGGTCACAGTGTCCCAGGGTCATGTGAAGTGACCAAAACCTGCTGCAACCACCCAGCAGACGGGGGGAATAAAAACCAAACACCCCCCACCCCATCCCCGCTGCCAATCCTCAACAGAAATGCTCACAACAATGGAAACCTCAGACAGGAGGAAGAGCGCAGCCAGGCGGGTAGGCAGGTGTCTTGCTCGGCTGTGGCTCGGGGGGCACTTTTTTCAGTGCCACTGTAACTTCGAACAGTCACTAAGCGAACTGTTGTAAGTCGAGGACTACCTGTACTTTATTGCTTTTTTCCTTTTGGGGGGGGTCATCAAATTTTTGACACCTTGCGACTGATGGTACTCGGATGTTGCCATATCCTAAAAGTGGTGCAATGGGTGAAAAGGTTGAAAAGCCCCGCTATAGGGTCCCCTGCTTGAGCAGGAGGGGGTTGGACTAGAAGACCTCCAAGGTCCCTTCCAGCTTTATTCTGATTGCACTCTGCTCCTAAATAACCTGTTTGCTTTACCTCTTGGGAACATCGAAGATCTGCAGGAGGACGGGACGCTGCCCACCGGCTGCCTTGGTCTTCCCGTAACGGACCAGGTCTTGAAAGATCCCGGCGAGGTTCAGCGAGGGAGCCCCGCGTGATGTTTTCAGCGGCGGAACTTGCAGAGCCAGCAGCGCGGCGAAGAAAGAAGCGGATAACGCCAGCCACACCGCAGCCAGCATTTCCCTCACTGCGCAGACGCGAACACACCGCTCATTCCCCTCCCCTCCCCGCTCAATTACCCTATGCCAGAGCAATCTGGGGAAGCAGTCGCGGGCGGGGGGCGGGTCCATTCCTCCAGCCAATGGAAGGACAGGGGAGGAGCTACGGGGCCCTATCAGGAAGACAGAACCACTGAGAGTAAGACCGCTTGGGGCCGCCTCTAACTCGACCGCTCTGTGCCGGCATGAACTCGGTGGTGCGCTTTGGGGCCAGTGACAATTGTGTGCTTTTGTGCTTTTCGGCTCGTTTTTGAGCCGTTTTTTTCCCGATGGGTTGCGTTCTTGTGGTTCCGGAGATGGAGAAAAAGCAAGCGGCGTTGGTGACGCGAGAGCGTGGCAGCCCGTGTCCCTTGCACACCCGTTTTGATTCCTTTTCGAAACGTTTGCTGTTTAAAAAGTGCGCACCCAGAAGAAACAAAAATAAGAATAATTGCAGAGCTTCACCGCCGTCCGATTCGATGCAGATTGGTGTGTGCGATGTTGGTTCTGGAATGGCTCTGGTGGCGGTTTGTTTAGTATTTGTGGTGCATTTATTTAAATTTATTGGCTTTGCAACTCCCTTGGAGTCTGGACGATATACAAAACTAAAACCAAAACATGGTTGCCTTCTGCAGGAGAAGAACGAATAAGTTCAATCTAGTGATAATTTCCGGACCTGTTAATCTGAAAAAGGGTCGCCACTAAACATAAAGGTTTGGTAATTCTGAATGCTGAACAAAATTTGTAAATAGAGAGTTGTAAATAGGATCAGAGCACAATAATCTCAGAAAAGGTAAGCAGTGTTGGATATGGTTTATTTGGATTGGAGAAAGCCTAGGCCAGGGGTAGGCAACCTTGGCTCTTTTATGACTAGTGGACTTCAACTCCCAGAATTCCTGAGCCGGCCATACTGGCTCAGGAATTCTGGGAGTTGAAGTCCACGAGTCATAAAAGAGCCAAGGTTGCCTACCCCCGTCAAATTGCTGGCCTGCGGGCCAGTTTCATCATACTAAAGCCATGCCCACCCCATTGCTGGCAATGCAAGAAGAGTTGCGATATGTTGCAACATGTGACGTGGTGAGTTTGACACCTGTGCTCTAGGCCCATGGTGGCGAACCTATGGCACGAGTGCCACAGGTGGCACACAGAGCTGTTTCTGTGGGCACACACGCTGTTGCCCCAGTCCCAGGCCTTCAGCTGGGTTTTATAAAACCTTTTTGCTTTAGGCCTCCATCGCCATGTGCAAAAAAACCCCAAAAAGGTTCAATCAATCAATTTCAATTTTTCACGGGGGAAAAAAAAGATCTCACAAAGTTGGAATTGATTAATTGAACTTTTTAGTCCCACTGCAGCCACACCCACCCAATGGGCCACGTCCACGCCCACCCGGCACCCGACGATACATAAGTGGATTTTGGGTTGCAGTTTGGGCACTTAGTCTCGTAAAGGTTCGCCATCACTGCCTTAAGACAAAGAACAAGATTCTTGGGTGTTCCCTCCCTACCCCATAAATGAGACCCTCAGTAAGAAAGACCAGTCCTTGAAAAATGGGACATTATACCTGCTCTTCACACCCATCCCTGGCCGAACGTCCAAATGACGCGTGATCAGAGACCTGAATAAGCAGAAGGAGACAATATCGTCACACGCAGAAGGATCCAGAGAGAGACAGAGGCAGATCTAACGACCCCCCTCCACTCTCCCCAATGTATCAGTAAATGAACATGCAGGTCGTTAAGCGAGACCCTCAGTAAGAAAGGTCAGGTCCTTGAAGAACTGGAAATTGCACCTCCTCTTCACACCCGTCCCTGTGAAGTGAAACAGGAAACATCGCTGACATTTTCTTTCTCTCTGGGAAGATATATTTGTGTAAGGAGCTTTTTGACCTGACCCCGAATTTGTACTTCACACCCATATTTATTTTTATAGGTCATCAGAGATAAACCATCCAGATCTCACCGGAGATACTCACTGGGTCCCACCAGATGGCACTGTGTAATAGGAACTGCAGTGTGCCAAGCCTAAGTGATTTTGTTGGGCAAGCAGAGATAATCAGAGCTAGATAGTTCCTCCAATATCCAAGCCTTGTGCCATGAAGTGCTTTGTAGATGACAACCAACATCCTGAGTTGCAACCAGATGCCTACTGGTAACCAGTAGTACTGATACATGGCCTTACTAAAGTATGCCCAATCCCACATGGTTGTATTGTAGCAGCTGTGGCTTCCAAGGGGTCTTCATAGGCAACTCTATCTAAAATATACTGCATCAATCCAAATGGCAGATCATTAAGAATCAGGGATTGAGAGCAAGTCTTTCTGACCCAGGAATGGCCACAGCTGGAGCACAAGATGAATTTGTGAAAATGCCATAGCTGTCACGTGTGCATTGAGGCTGATGCAAGTGTAGGGAGATCTGGAAATTGTGTGCAGTTCTAACAGGGACAAACACAGCCTCCTTCAGAAAGGTGGATAATCTCCAGGAGCTAATGATCCCAGAACCCACAGCCATTCAATTTCGCTATGGATGAACTTTTCTCCCATCCAGACGCTCTCAGCCTCCAGATACTGAGATTCAACCTTGACCACATCACTAGTGAGCAGAACTGAGACATACAGCAGAGTAAGATCAGCATAATGATGATACCCATCCCTGTGTCTTTGGATAGCCTTCTCCATCTGCTTCATGTAGAATGTTAAAACGTGTAAAACTCACTTGTGAAAGAAAATGGGTAAGACAACTAAAACATTGTTTTTACTAGGCTGCTTTAACATCCTATTTCTATGCCAGAAAAAGATTAATTCACTTTAAATGCTTTAGTCCAAACTTGGGCAGCATGTGAAGCCCAGGACCACAAACCCAATTTGGGGAGGGGGGGGAAGAGAATGAGAATTACAGTCTTTTTAAAAATTATAATCTCTCTTAGGAAACGTTGGACTCCGGAGATCCAGTTCAAGAAATTGTGCAAAGGCAGCCCTGAATTGCAGATCATTCAGTTTTGTTTTGTCCAAAACGAGAACTTGGCTACTTAGTCTTTCTCTGAAATAGGCTGATATGAAGAGCCACGTTTGAAATAAAAGCAAACCGAACATTGTGTAATTTTAAAAAGAGCCAAGACATATGACTTGGCATTTCTCACTGACTCTCCAAAATACTTGGGAGAGTATTCTATTCTAATTCTATTCCTATTCTAATTTCTATTTCTATTCTATTCCTATTCTAATTTCTATTTCTATTCTATTCTATTCCTATTCTAATTTCTATTTCTATTCTATTCCTATTCTAATTTCTATTTCTATTCTAATTTCTATTCTATTCCTATTCTAATTTCTATTCTATTTCTATTTCTATTTTATTTTCTATTTCTATATTCCAATACTTATTCTATTCTACTCTACTCTACTCTATATTCTTTCTATTCTATTTTCACATAAAAGATAGGACGGCATTTTTGCAATTAGGGAACCCACGATGCAGATTTATGTGGTTTCTATTAATCGAAAACGGCTCGATGGCACATAACTAACGAATGAATGAATGCAGGGGATAAATGACCGCTTCTTCCCCTCCGCACTTTTATTAATGTGTGCATCTGAATCGATTGGATCTGAATTCAGATTGCATCTGAATCTGAATGGGTGCAGAAGATGATAATTTCTCTATCCGGAAAAAAAAATTGCTGCAAAAAAAATAAAATAAAATAAATAAACCTCGACCATAAAAAGACAGCTATCACAAAACAATAGACACGCTCGCGTGGCCACTCTGCTACTACAGGAAGAGCGGCGCGAGCATGCTGCTTCCGGCGGCTTTGGCTCGCTTTGAGCGGCAAAGCCCCGCCCTTGGCCGGTTTTCCTCGCCTCCTTCCGGTGGCACTTCCGCTCCTCAGCTGAGGGCATGCTGGGAAGTGTAGTTCGAGCCGCCAACCCGGCTGGAGCAGAGCTGTACGGCTACGTCGCCTCTCCGAGCTCGGACTGGCGGAAAAGCGGCCGTCGGAGGCCCGCGGCTTCCACTAAGCGGAGGGATGGAAGCCGCTGCTTGGCGCCAGGGAGGGCGCGGGAGAGGCAGGGGCCGGGCTGCAGCCGGCGGGGTCTCTTTGGGCAACGGACCCGGCGGGCGGGGAAAGGCGAGAGGAGCCGGAGGGTTGCCGGCCGGCGCAGGGGGAGCCCAGGGTGAGTATCCGTGCCTGCTGTGCCGCCGGGAGGCTTCATCTTTGGGCAGGCGAGGCTTTCTGGAGCCGCCTCCATCCGAAAGAGCGGCGGGCGGGGAGGAGGAGGGGGGGGAAACATGCCTTTCCCAAAGGTTCTTTTTTCAGGAAGCAGCTGGACATTCTTGTTTTTAATAATAATAATAATAATAATAATAATAATAATAATAATAATAATAATAATAATAATATTGGAAGGGACCTTGGAGGTCATCTAGTCCAGTGGTTCTCAACCTTTTTAATGCCGCAACCCCAACCGGTCGTAAGTCGAGGACTAAACCGGTCGTAAGTTGAGGACTAAACCGGTCGTAAGTCGAGGACTAAACCGGTCGTAAGTCGAGGACTGCCCAACCGGTCGTAAGTCGAGGACTTTCCCTGCCCGGGAGCGCCGCGCATGCGTGGTTCCGCCCCCTGCGCCGGCCGAGGCGTAGCTGGCAAGCGGCAGAGACGGAGCAGGCTGACCACCAGCTGGCCCAGCCCAAGGGAGGTAAGGCACCCGCCGGAAAAGGGGAAAAAAATGGTGGACAAAAAAAATGGCGGACAGCCTTGCTTGGCGACCCCGGTGAAATGGTCGATCGACCCCAAATGGGGTCCCGACCCACAGGTTGAGAACCACTGATTTAGTCCAACCCCCTGCTCAGGCAGGAAACCCTATACCATTATGGACAAATGGCTGTCCAGTCTCTTCTTAAAAACTTCCAGTGTTGGAGCATTCACCGCTTCTGGAAGCAGGTTGTTCCACTTTGAAGACGTTTCACTTCTCCTCCAAGAAGCTTCTTCGGTTCCGACTGGATGGTGGGGAATGAAAGGATGTATACTCCTTGCAGACCGCTTGGTCCTTTGCATTCTTTTAGACAAGAGTCGTTGAGGCCACTTGGAGGTTTACCTGTGTCCTCAGGGTCACCTGAGCAATGCAAATGGGTGTGGGGCCTCCTTGGCTGCAGGGTGTTTTCTGCCCTCGGTCCCTTCGCTGTGGAAGACAGGCGCAGGCTGTTGGGGATGAGTCTGTGTTGTCTGCATTTGTGCTTGTTTGAGATGCAGACGACACATCTGCGCCTGTCTTCAGCAACGAGGACAGTGATGTTTACCACTATACAGTGTGGTGCCTAATGCAATTATGAGAGTGCCTGAACCCTCAGACCTGCGCTTCCCCGTTGGCTCCTTTCCTGTGAGGAAAAGGGTTTCATTCTAACATGTTAATGGAATATTTATGGATACTGATATAGCTGAATTTGGATTCTCAAAGAGCACAGAAGCATTAATAAAGGAAGAGACATATCACTTTGAAACAGGTTACAAAGTACATGTACATCTTGTGCGAATCAGCAGCGTTCTAATTTGTATTACTTAAATATTCTAGCTTAGTTCCGTTTGTCGGCAAGAAGTTTATATAGTTGGATTCGTGTAATGGGCAAGCCATGATTGATTCCTGTTTCATTTTCTCCAAAATATGTCAAGAAAGGAAAGCTAAGAGTCAGAAGAAAGAATTTCCCTGTTTCTTTATGCTCCAAATTAGCCTTTCCTGGAAAAAGAGAGTTTCATGCATTTTTGTGTTAATGCTTAATTAAAATCCTGGATTCAAGCTATCATTGACTGACTGCTTTCAGATCTGCCTTCCTGCGAAAGACCATATTAAAAAGATGATTTATTTTAGAATTTTGAACATTATTAGTGAAGTATGGTAAGAAATAGGAAATCTAACCGTAAAGAGAGAGTAACCTTAATTTTCCTGGTCATACATGCTTAAAGACAATTGAGATAACAGTATCTGGAGAAAAGCTCACATCAAAAACTTTTTAAAGTTTCTGATCTTTGTATAGATTTATTATAGGTAAATATTTACATAGAACTTTAGTTTATTGACCTTAATGTTGAAAAAATAGGGTCTGGGTTCATATTTCATGCTAAGCCATTACGTGGGTTGTTTGGTTTGACCTTAGTATGTTTATATACATTGTTACTGTGATTCATTCAGCATTAGTTGAACAAGCCATTGCTTGTGTATTATATGATGCTAATTACTGTTTTAGGTTCTCCTAATGTGTAGTTTTATTATTTTAACAGAACTTGCATCGCAGAAAAAATTTGATGAAATCAAGAAGGCTAATCAAGCTGCAGTTAAGAGGCTTGTTGAAAATCAATTTAGCTCCTCATCCGATGATGATGATGAAGAAGAAGAAGAAATTGAAGGGAAGCACGGACAAATATTGGCCAAAACGTTTACAAAATATACTAATCAGATTGGTAATTTTTTTCTATATTGGCTTCTCAGCTTTCATTTCAAAGACAAACATATCATTACATTAAAAAAAAAAGCTTAGGGATTAATTGCCATATTAGTGATAGAATATTATTTTGCTAGATTTGGAAAAATGCTATTCATGTTCATATTGCCCAGTAAGCTAACCATATTGTGTCAACCTTTGCTTGTGTGTTTTGGAAAAAGTATGTAAATTCTCAGGATAATCTGCTCCCTTAATGTGCTAAGCTGAGGTTGCTGTTTCTGTCAGTGAAATTGAAATTTGCTCTTCGGGATCTAGGTTTGGGGAAGTGAATGATGATTACTCAAAAGAGACTTCAGGAAAAGGATTATCAGCATACGAGACACCAAAGGCTGCAAAAATCATTGCCAAAATATTGGCCTTCATCATTTCACAGGCAAAATGTATGCAGTGCTCTCATTACTTTTCCTAGGAGTGATGGTCAAACAAAAGTTTCCCCTCAAAGCAAGTATATTGTACCTAACGAGGTTGTAAACAACTCTCACAATCTGCAAGCCACTCTTGCAGTGTTAGACATTAGTGTTCAAGATTCTTTCTTCTCCTTCTTCTGCCATATCCGTTATCGGATGTTGGCGATCATGTTGGTGATCCTGTTTTTATCAGCAGCCGCATGAAAAAGTGCTGCTGAGTTTTGTCCAAACCAGTCCCTTAGATTTTGAAGCCACGATGTTCTTCTTCTGCCTGGACCTCGTTTGCCTTCAATCTTTCCCTGGAGGATTAAATGGAGTATGCCGTATTTTTCTGTATGTCGCATCACATGTCTGAAATATTCTAATTTTTGTTTTTTAATTGTTTTGATGATTTCCCTTGGCTTTCCCAGGCGGCTTACATTATGAAAATATTGAACACAAGATGTATGCGTGAAAGGATATGAGGGAGGCAACTACTGTTCCCCTCTCAAGTTTGCCAGTTATTACCTGGATAATCCAGATGCTTATTAGAACAAAACACTACATTTTCACAAAAGACTGTTCTTCTCTCCATGAAGCGTGGCTGGAATAATATGGGGCTCTTTCTAGCCTCTGAATATGGATGGCTCTTTGTCATTGAGGGAACATGATTTCTAGATTGTACCAGCAAATTCTATAAGGGAATGTCCAGGTACTTGTCAACGAAGTGAAGCTTAAATGGATGTTCTTTGTGAGAATGATCACACACAAGTAACTCTATCATCGAATGGCTGGAGCAAGAGAAATTTCACATTTTGGAATGACTGAGAAAAAGAGCTGATCTTGCCCCATTTGAAATGTGGTGTGACTTGAAGCAAATAGGCCATGCAAAACAACCTTGAAATATTAATGAATTTAAATAGTTCTGTAAAGGGCTTCCGGTTTTGCATCATAGGGACATGGTCAAGGGATTGCGGCACTCCGCACCCCACAGCTGGTTTTGCCCTGCCTGAGGACCCTAAATGGGTCTAAAGTAGCTCCGGAGAGGCGACAAAGAAGGAGGGCCCCTCGTCGATCATGGAAGCCCTCCAACCCGACAGGAGAAAGGCTAGCTGCACTTTGGTGGCTAGCCCAAGCTATTGGCATCCGAAATCCAAAAACACCAACTAAGAACAATGTGAACAGCGTGTTGGAGCTGGATGAGAATATTGATCTTCTCTTCTCTATTTTGAAACTGATTTCCTGGAAAAGATCCCCAAAAAGCAAAATATCCTCCGAAAGTGAGAAGGAAGGGGACTATAACCCCACCCTTCCAAAGACGGAAGTAGCGATTTAATTTTTAATGAGGGACAGAACTACATTGAAATGGACTAATGTAAAACTATAATTTGGATAAAACTAAAAACTGTGGAAATTGTTAAGATTTTTTATTTAAAAGAATATTGATGAAATTATAAGAAAATAATCTTTTCGCTTTAAAAGTTGGAAAATAAACATCTACTGACATCTAGTGGTGGAACAGAGTATAGAACTACAGCTGCCCTGCCTTGGAAATTGGCAAGACACCCAAAAACAGAGCACAATTTATCCCTTTGATCCTTAGTGATTCTTAGCTAAACAGAGAACAGCTGGGAATAGAGGAAAGAAAATACACTGGGCTTCCTATTGCAGAATGAGAAATACAATTGTTATGAAAACTGCTGACCTTCTTGGATTATAAACACTTACTGAGCTGTGATATTTAAGTTTAAGAATCGTTTGCAGAGAAAGAAAAACATTGACTCTGGCTATTCTTTTAGGGGGAAAATTACTGGATTGTTTTAAGCAGTTGAACATTTTGGACTGTTCATAAAGATAAGAAACATATAAGACTATAGCGTTTGGAATTTAAGATAGGTTGGTTTGATGAAAATGGAGGTTGCACATACAACTAAAAGTGGTAAGAAACCACACGCAATATTCTTTTCTAAAATCCCCAATCTGGAACATCAGAGATCTGCAGGAGTAATACTTCAAGACAAGACAAATATTTTCCTGGAGGAAATGTATGCTATGTTGCAACTAATCTAAACGACAATTGCTTCAAATCATAATGAGATTAAAAATAATTTTGATGATATAAACGAGCACATCCCTGACCTAAGCTCACAATTAAAAAATTCTCAGAAAATGGTTACAAAGAATGAACAAATAAATCAGATAATAGAACAAAAACCAGAGGAAAATAACCCAAAGATGGAAGCCACAAATGAAGAAAATTACAGCTTAATACATACAAAGAAAAATCTGCAAGATTTTGCTATAATATTGGAAATGGAAAAGACATTTTATTTTTCAGAACCTCAAACAAACCTGAAGATAAGAAAGAAGACTTGATAAAATGGACAATAGAGCTGCCAGGAGAATCACTAGCATTTGGGAGACAAAAAATGAAAAGAGAAATCGAGGGAGTATGAAAGTGGAAGCTTCTTAACGAACATAAATGGGCGAAACTCCCCTCAAAAGCATCTTACTCAATTTGTCTTTCCCATTCTTAACAACACCTATAAAAATACAGGAAGAATCTCTTGGCAAGCTGAATATACTGACTTGGAAAGCTGCTAAGGAAAAGAAGAAGGCGAGAGCCAAACTCAAGAGAGATAATTTGAACTACCAGATGGAGTACTACATGACTAAACACTTGTATGAATATGGTTAAAAGATTAGTTAAATTTTGGATATGAACGGGTTCTATAGTAAGAGAGATGTGATTCATAAATAGTATGGTATTTCTTTATGATATGGGAAATGTAAAAATAGTGGGATGATTTAAGTGAACAAAATGTTTTGGATATTCAAAAGGAATCAACTTGGCCAAAATTATAACTGATAAGAAATGTTCTGAATACTGAAGGGAAACTAAGCTTAAATAAGAACAGGAGAGAGCCAGACTCAAGAGAGATGATTTGACATACCAGATGGAATATCGTATGATCAAACATTTGTCTGAATATGGTTAAAAGAATAGTCAAATTTTGGATATGAAGGGGTTCTATAGTAAGAGAGATGTGATTTATAAGTAGTATAGTATTTTTTTTAATGATATGGGAAATGTAAAAATATTGGGATGATTTAAATGTATGAAATGTTTTGGATATTTAGATGTAATCAATTTTGAGAAAACTATAACTGACAAGAAATGTTTTGGATACTGAGCTGAAATAAGTTTTGAAAACAGGACTTATAGCAATTTATATAAGATGGATTTTTTTGCAAATGCAACTGTAAAATAAGCTGATTAGAAAAGACCTTACATATTGATGTTATTGTTAAATACTAGAAAAATGTTCATATTCAACTTTGTATGTATTGAAAGTACTAAGAACTATATTTGCTTGGTAAAAGGAGAATACTATTGGAAGAAGAGACGACCTAGGAAAGGTATTTCTAGTTAGTATGTTAATTATGAAAGCATAGAAATTAACTATTATTGATTGTTGTTAAATATATGAACCCAGACAACACATTGTTTACTAACCACTAAAGATTGTTATTGTAAAAAATCAATAAAATATATTAAAAAAAATTGTAAAGAGGACATTCTGTTCAATTGATTAGGATGAAGGTGAAAGAAATATTTAACAGTTAGTGTGATAGAGGCTTCAAAAGAACACAGGTGATTTTGTGATTATACAGTTTCTAGCCCAGGGGTGTCAAACTGCCGCCGCGCGGGCCGGATGCATTACGAGGAAACCGCGCCGACCCCATTGCTGGCAACGAGGAAAAAAGCTCCGATACGTCATGCGACGTCACGTGATGTCGTGTGTTTGCCATGTCTGTTCTAGCCCATAAAGGTCACTAACATAATAATTTTTTATTATCTTTTTCTATTCAAAGATGGAGATGCAAGTGAGTTGGAGCGCACAAAGCAATATATGAACGATGCCTTTCAATCTGGGGCACTGACGTGCCTGATTTGCATTGCTTCAATTAAGAGAAATCAAGCAGTAAGTATCTTACATTGCTGTATTATCTTTTTCCCAATCTGTATTCACTAATCTCTTGAAATACCCTTGCCTTCCAAGACAGAACAGCATATCAGGGTGATTATTTGTGAGTCTGCATTTCTCTGGTGCAGGGGTAGGCAACCTTGGCTTTTTTATGACTCGTGGACTTCAACTCCCAGAATTCCTGAGCCAGCCATGCTGAGAGGAAAGGGAGAGGTTTCCAAGCTGAGCCATGCTGGCTCAGGAATTCTGGGAGTTGAAGTCCACGAGTCATAAAAGAGCCAAGGTTGCCTACCCGAGTCTGGTGGGTAAATGTATCAACCTGAATTTCTTTATTAAATTTATACAGACAGTTCTGACTATTAAATTTGTAAATACTTAACATTAATAAGACTTGAATAAAAATCAGAAACAGTGGCATAGAGTAGGAGCTTCTCTCTTACTCCATCAACCATTTTCAGCAAAGAGCACCCTCAGCAGGGCTGCAAGCTAAACTAGGTTGTAAAGCCCTTCCAGAAGGCCAGAAGGGTGGAGGCAGATTTCAGGTCCAGTGGTAGAATGTTCCACAAGGTATCTATGGAGATTCTCAGTCATCCAGATCATGGTTGTCCCAAAGGTGCTTTTTCAAGAGGCAACTGGACTTTCTTATTTTTCTCTGAAGACATTTCATCCAAGAAGCTTCTTCAGCTCTGACTGGATGGTGGGGAATGGAAGGATTTGAATCGTCTAGTTCAGGGGTAGGCAACCTTGGCTCTTTTATGACTCATGGACTTCAACTCCCAGAATTCCTGAGCCAGCTTGGAAATCTCTCCCTTTCCCCTCAGCATGGCTGGCTCAGGAATTCTGGGAGTTGAAGTCCACGAGTCATAAAAGAGCCAAGGTTGCCTACCCCTGGTCTAATTGCCTCTTTAAAAAGCACCTTTGGGTTCCACAAGGTAGGAGCCACAGCAGAAAAGGCCTCCTCCTTGATTCCATTAGCCTAAATTCCTTGACTGATGAGTTTGTAGCAAGTTCCTTTTGCTGTAGTAAATTGGGTAGGCCAATCCCATTGGGGCAAGATGGCACCTCAGATACCGTAGACACATGCTTGTAGTAATAACCAACATCTTGAATTGGATTCGGAAGCAAATTGGCAACCCATGCATTTTGTGCACAGCAGTGTTATATCCACCACCCTAGGGACCTCCAGCCCTGCCTGCACAGCTTCATTCTGTACCAATTGTAGCTTCTGAATTGTTTTCGTAGTGGTCATTAAGCAAATGCAGTTAAGTGAACCTGTTTTTCGCTATGGGCCGTTTTTGCCGAAAACATGGAAGTAATCAGTTTTTAGCAAAAAAAGGTTTTAAATTGTGTTCACATGACTGGGATTGTAAGGACCCACCTCAGTCAACCACCCAAGAAAGCAGAACTCTTGAAACAGGCATTGTCTCAAAAGGAACTTTTATTAGGGGTCAGTGACAGTAGGGAAGTCAAGGCAAGATCTGGGGAAAATCCCGCCTAAACGGTATAGTTAAACTAGCAATCTTCCTCCTCCCACCAAAGTCATAGTGTCCATTTGAAATCCAGCCAATCCACAGGTGGCACACAGAGCGGGTGACTGGCACAGTTGGCTCACATCTCAAAGTCTTCTCCAATTTCATTTCTCCATAGCTGGAGAAATGGATAGGGGCGGGAGAGGAAAAGCAGAAAGCGAAAGTTATCCCAAAGTTATTCCCCCCCCCAGCAGAATGGCAGGCCCCAAACAATAAGGATTTGGGGACCTGACAGGGATGCTGCAATATACCACATATACGGATTGGTTGCCAAGGGACCAAAATATCACCATGTGACCACGAGGGGGGGCAGTGCCTGTCAGAACGTGAGAATCAGGTCGTAAGTAACTTTTGTGGGGCCCATTGCCAAGCGACCAGTTGTAAGTTGAGGTCCACCTGGAGGGGTGTATTTGGCTTTGTGTTTTAAAATACCTTATTAAACACAAGTGGAGATAGAAAAGTTTGGGGGGAAAAATAAAGTAAGAAAGTTAAATGTTATTATTTTGTGACTAAGACATCTCTAGCCACAAAATGCTATGTTATCAGAAGATGAAGATAAGCAACATTAATTTAATGATTAGACCAGAGGTAGGCAACCTCGGCTCTTTTATAACTCATGGACTTCAACTCCCAGAATTCCTGAGTCAGCTATGCTACCCCTGGATTAGACAACCAGGTATTTCACCTCAGGCAGAAGCACAATCTTTTCTTAGTTATTTTCTTTTATTTTTAAGGATTAAATGTTACGGTTCAGATCAACAGATTGCTAAGAAGGGCTTCTAAACCACATATCCTTGTTTTTCTTCCAGGTCTGGAGTTGTTCTGGCTGCTTCTGCATATTTCATATGCCGTGCATACAAAAGTGGGCGAAAGATAGCCTTTTTTTAGTATCTTCTCCTCTGACTAATGATGATTTTGGAAAAAAGGATTATCCATGGCCATGGTAAGCTTTTAAGAGTTTGTTTTGAAAGCTGGTCTATGCATTTAGAGGGGGGAAAGATGGAGCACTAGCTTTGAAAAGAACAGTTGTAACCAGAAGTCTATACTGTAAATGCTGCAATTTTAGCTTCAGTATAAAGCTCCCTAGCTCAGGGCTTTTCAACCTGTTCACCCATTGTACCACTTTTAGGATATGGCAATATCCGAGTACCACCAGTCGCCTAGCAAGGTGTCAAAAACTTGAGGACCCCCCCCCAAAAAAGGGAAAAAAGTGATAAAGTACAGGTAGTCCTCGACTTACAACAGTTTGCTTAGTGACTGTTCGAAGTTACAATGGCACTGAAAAAAGTGCCCCCCAAGCCACAGCCGAGCAAGACACCTGCCTGCCCACCCGGCGGCGCTCTTCCTCCTGTCCGAGGTTTTCATTGTTGTGAGCATTTCTGTTGAGGATTGGCGGTGGGGTGGGGGGTGTTTGGTTTTTATTCCCCCCGTCTGCTGGGTGGTTGCAGCAGGTTTTGGTCACTTCACATGACCCTGGGACACTGTGACCGTCATAAATATGAATCAGTTGCCAAGCATCTGAATGTAAATCACAAGATCCTGGAGATGCTGCAACATTCCAGCTGATCGGTGCTTCTTCAGGGCTCAGCAGAAGTGCCAGGATCAGCGCCGAGCTCCAGCTGGAGCCTGGCGCTGATCCTGGCGCTTCCGCTGAGCCCTGACAGCCCTGCAGCTCCAGCCATCTCTCGCTCAGGCTTGTGCGGTGCTGCCACCGGTTCAGCTCATTCCCCTCCCCCGCTACCACTTTTCTAGGATGGTTGCGTACCACCTGCCAGGTGCCAATGTACCACAGGTGGTACCCGTACCACTGGTTGAAAAGCCCTGCCCTAGCTGGTTGTAAGATAAACGTTAAATACAAAAGCTTATATTTTTCTTTCCATATGAAAAGTATAGAGGCGATGATTTTATAAACATGAGAAAATAAATAGAAGGTAGGTCCTGCTTGTGGACGTGTAGACATTCAGATCCACATATATACCTCCAGAAGGGAGCTGTTGCCTTTACTGGTAGTTCTCGGCTTACAACCCTAATGGAACCTGCCCATTACAGTCAAACATCATAATAATCATAAAGGGGATCATCATGTGACTGACCTGATTTTATGATCATTTTTGCAGCAGTCACTAAGCAAATCATTATGGCCATCAAGTGAGTCTGTAGTCATTCAACAAATGCTGTAGCAGAACCGTCCTCAACCTTTCCGGCTTGGTGGCCCAATGCGGAGTGGGGAGAAGGGATGGTATTGTGTGAGTGGCACGCGCGTGTGCACGGCTCTATTAATATGAGCGGCAGGCACACACACGCACACCACTCATACAAATGGACCTTCGCATGTGAGCGCAAGCACTCATCGCTCAGGCGAGTGAAGCATTGCGCATTAGCGCAGCTGCTCGCTGCTCACACCGCACAATTGTCCACCGCTTGCACGAGTTGGGCAAGTAAAAATGCTGGTTGTTGGCAAAAACATGAACACGTGACCAGGAGATGCTGCAAACACCCATAAATATGGGCTTGTTGCCAACAATGGAACTGCAGTCATGTGATGGTGGGGGCAGCTCTCAGAATTTTGGAACTGGGTTGTAAATAACTTTTTTGGGGGGGGGGTCTGCTTAAATTCAAGCAGTTGCAAGTCAAGGCAACCTGACCGTTTGAAGGTTATGGCGGAACACCCCCCCCCCCCAAAGCTACTGTCGTGGAAAAACCCAATAAAACAGACAAGAGACAGCAACACAACATAATAATTCTTACTTTAAGATTCAGAGGTTTATTTCTCTAATAATTTGGAACGGAGCAAGCATAATAACACAACATCACTTACATTAATCACCCATTGCAATGAGGACCAAGTGGTATAGCAGAATCCAAAAGGACAGCTATAGGCCAATGGGAAATCAATCAGGTCCAGTCCCAACCTTTTATACCCTTTTTCATTCTAAGACTGTAGTCAGATAGTCTGCTGACTTTTGCTGACTTTTTACTGACTTCCTGCTGACCTACTTTCCACATATACCTGTGTACACTGGAACCCGCATCCATCAGCTACTTTTCAGTTCCCTATTTCTCCCACAATTACAATACTCATGTTCCAAATATACATATCTACTTTGCAATTTCATATTGCACAAAGCTCAGCAGATTACAAATAGTACGTTCGTATTGTGAAACAGCATAAAGTTCAAATCACTTCTGTGGGGGCCTATTTCAGGTTTGCTCTAGCCCAGTGATGGCGAACCTTTTAGAGACCGAGTGCCCAAACTGCAACCCAAAAACACTTATGCATCGTCGGGGTGCCGGGTGGGCGTGGCTCATTGGGTGGGCGTGCCCATTGGGTGGGCATGGCCGCGGTGGTAACAGCAGACTGGATGGGGCTAAAAAGTTCAATCAATCAATTCTAACTTTGCAAGATCTTTTTTTTTTGCCGCGAGAAGTTGAAATTGACTGATTGAACCTTTTTTTTTTGCACACGGCGGCGGAGACCTAAAGCGAAAAGGTTTTATAAAACCCAGCTGGAGGCCTAGGACTGGGGCGACGGCGCGCGTGCCCACACAGAGGGCTCTGAGTGCCGCCTCTGGCACCCGTGCCATAGGTTCGCCACCACTGCTCTAGCCTCATCTTGTTATATGAGGGGGGGCTATATTTTTATCTCCCACACTACTTATGATCCAGTTTTAAAGTTATGGCCGCTGCGGTCATTTTTCCTTATGACCAATGGCAGAGATGCCACAGCAGCTGCCTGCTCACCTGTCTGCCACTTAGCTGAGCAGAGCGGGTGTGTTTGCTTTCACTTCACTCAAGCCATCCGGTCACCTTCACTGGTTCTGTTCACCCTCAAGTCTGCTGCTTGCAGGTCTTCTTCTCTACTGCGATGGGGGAAACGGCAGCGACAGAACTGATGAAGGCGAGCAGTGGGCTAGAGTGGGATAAAAGTGATGAAGGCACGTGCGCTCAGCGGAGTGGCTGGCTTGTGAGTGGGCAGCATTGGGGCAGAAGGGCAGGCTGCTCTGTTCCTAGGCCGTTTCCCTATTCGAGAAGCGATTTTGCAGGGACCACAATTCCTTGGGGCCACTCTAAAAATGGCGGTTGCTTCTGGGATGCAGCCATGCAGTCTACCGATGCCGAGGGATGGAACAGCTTGCTCTTCTGCCCTCAACATAAATTCTGGAACTTCCAGAAGCAAATCTGTGGTCAAAGGTAAGAGAGTGATTGATGAGC